ACAAATCGCGGCAGCAGGCGCACGAATCGCGGCCACGATGGACGGAGCCGTGGAGAGGGGAGGCCCCTTGGGAACCCCCTGGGCCTGCCCCGCAGGTGGCCACGGGAAGGGCTCCGGTGGCCTTACGCCCTTACTCCTCCTCTTTTGTTTGCCCAGGGAGACATTTTGGGAGCCTGAGCCCTGACGGGGGAGAGGGTCCAAACCCCATGGCCTGAGACCACGGACTCCCCGGAAGGCTTCTCCCTTCTATCTGGCAGAGGCCCTCAGATTTGGGGCTTTATCTGGGTAAGTGGATGCCTGCGGTCCCTCTTTCGCTTTTGGCCTGGTTAACCGCCATTTTTATATTTAACGTATCAGGGACCACGCATATTTCTACTTTCCACATCTGGGTAGGACTTTGCGTTCCAGGCAGCCTTGAGCACCACCTCCACGTCAGAGTTACAGCACGCAGACCTTTCTGTGGGTGCATGGGGAAGGCCCCTTCCAGAGTCCATCCCTGATGGGATATATATTTACCCTACATACTGCAGACTCTACGCTCCTGCCCATACTGTCCTCACAGCGCTTGCAATTGCTTTTCAGCCACTGAAGCTGCCAAGACGTTAATGGCTTCGGGGCACGAACGCGGCCCACACCACTGGCTGCAGAAGCTCAGGTCCCGCCGCTCCCGGGGCGGTAGCAGCATCTGCGTCAAGACGTGCTTGACACAACTAGGTACACAGACTGCTCAGCTACGCTCTCACACGTCACTCGGCGTGGCACAGAAAAGCCTAGAAAGAGAAACACGTCAGCTTGAGCACCTAAGGCAAACAGACGTTTCGGGAGCGCTCCTAGGAAGGACATCCTGAGGCAACTGAACCTCCTTGGAAAACGCCCGATCTCCAGCAGCGCTACCCCCTCGCGCAAGCGCTTGCAATGCCGCTTACGGGTTGGGATGTTTGGTTTTGAAACAGCAGCAAAACACCAATCTCCTACCCAGAAACCCGAAGCGCCGCCGCTTTTCCTCCCTGTCGGCCGCAAAAGCAGGATGCTTTCGGGATGAAGGGCTTTACGACCACCCTCGGGAAACAGCGGGCACGGTGCCGAGGCGCGCTTGCGCCGGCCCTCACCTCGCCATCGCATCCGCAGGGATCGCCGCTGCCGTACGTCTGCCTGCAGTGACTTGACAAAGTGAGGCAGGGTGACAGGCGGCAACGTTTACAACAGCCAGCGCAGATAAGGGACGTCTCCAGGGGCTGGGGACCACTCGGGCAAGCGGAAGGAGAATCTGCAGAGCCGTCCAGGGGAGCTGATCCAACGGGAGGAAGAAGAGGGAAAGAAGGGCCTCTCGCCAGCACCTCACAGCTGAGAAACGCAAAGCGGCCATGGGGACACTCGTCCAGCATGGCTGAGCTCCTCGTAGCAGCCTGGAGAACACGGGACGGACAGCAACTGCAAATACCACAGAACTGCCGGAGGACGAGCCCCAAAATCAACAGCAGCAGCAACATCCTGTGGAGCTGCACAGGAGAAACAGCTCCAGAGCTAAAGTTACGGAAACGCTGAAGGAAACCAAAAGCATGCAGCGAACTGCAGTTAAAATACACCTCAAACAGACTCGTATTCACCCACCACGTATTTATTTACTTTGTAATATTCAGAAATCCTCTGCAAGAGTAAAGCCGGGTGAGGCATATGAACCTTGTCCGCTTTCAATCCCCTGCTCCCCATTTCTGGTAGCCTGTAAGTGCAGTTTAACTCCGAAGACGATCCTCCCAGCCTGCTGAGCTGCGGCCCTGCAGCAATACCTCTGCTCGAGGCGTGATTTAAGTCCACGAGCTTATTGGAGTCACCTTCCCTGCGCGCGCAGCCGGTACGAGGCAGCTACGCCTTTGCAGAACCACAGCAAACAATTCTCTCTCATTTGTCCGGGCTGGATTTGGTGCACGTCCCTCGTGCAGTTTGCACAGAGAGAATCGCAGCTTACAGCACTCCCAGACGGGAAGCGCTGCTGTGTGTCACAAGGGACTTTCACCCACACTAAAGGCACCCCGTACAGAGGGAAGGGAGTAGGAACATAGGGGCTGTTGGCTTTCATAGCCATACACATTAAAAAAAAAAAAAAAAAAAAAAAAGAGGATGTCCAAAATATCTTGCTTCATGCTCTGCTTAGCACTAGCACTTTTAGAACCACTCTTTTACAGTAGTGAGACATCTGAGTTCAGCTTTAAATCACATTACCTTGCTTTAAAAATGAAATGGGCAAAAATAATATTGGCAATAAGGTGAAGAGACTGAGGTTTTGCAAAACTGAGCTGAGTGCAACACCACAATTTTCTGACACTAACGATTAAACTTTGTTTTATAAACACTTCTACTGTAATGAATCCTAAAGATTGCTTTTTTATATATATATGTATTTGGGGAAAGAAGATTATAGTGTGCTGAAAAAATAGCTTCTGTTCCCTCCAAGGGCAGACACACCATCTGCTCTGGAATATACCTGCAGTAAATCTGGACAAACACGAACTCAAGCCATCCAGTCAATAAATAATTTAATGAGGTGACAGTTCTGCAAGAAAACACGACAGCACCCTTTCCCAGCCTCACCCCGCAGGCATGGCAGAAAAACGCACACAAGCCAAACAAGGAACCACAGCTGCACCAAAAGGCCACTGGAATGCAGGGATCTTCACAGAAGATATTGCTTCGAGCCCAGACACTTGTACACTGTCAATACTTGCCTCCGTGTGAAAAAGAAAACATGCAGCCCCTGCCATCAGCCTCCCGGTTACACTTCAGCCAGATCATGCTCCAGGGACCGTGCATTTGGGGGAGCGGGGGAGCCCAGACCCACAGGTACCAACACATCAAAACGCGGGGATGGCGAAACGAAGGGGAAGGCTGCAGCACAGCTCTCTGCTGCAAGTCTTGCGGATGACTCTCACGAAACGAAGCCAGCTGTCAGAATGGAAGTCGCTTCAGCTGCTCGTACGTGATAAAAAACTGAAGGGAACGTCAAGGAATTGGGCCAAATACCTAAGGCAGCTGCAGCGGGCCTCCCGACACGACCGGGCCGTGCCTGGCGAGGCGAGGCAAGGCAGTAGAGCTTGCTGAAGACCAACACGGGGAAGCCCCTCTTCCAGGCAGCATAAACCCATCCGCGCGGGTAGAAGAGCTGTGGGACACGAGCTACCAGGAGAGGGAAGAGGCTACCGGGAAAGGGAAGACACTGACCCAGAAGCAAACTGGCCCGGGCTCGCCTAGACCACCGAGAAAGGGAGGTGGCTCTAATCCCAGACTGGGCCTTCTTTAAAATAAATTACGCACACAATTTCAGAGGGCAAGAAGGATCTAGTAGAGCAACGCAGCAGCGCTGGCTCTGCAGAGCAGGTCAGCACCCGTCTCGGAGCAGAACGTTCCCCAGGCTTCCCTCACGAAACAGGATCCGATCCAGAAACCCCAGCACCTCCGGGAGCTCAGGCCAAAGGGAAAGTCTCAAGCCAAGCACTTGAGAGCGCTCGCTCCACAGGAGACCGGCTGAGCCCGAACGCCCTGCGCCGGCCAGCTGCAGAGCTGCCAGAAGCAGCTGTTACGACCAGTGGCATTTTTTGGCATTTGAACCAGCAGCAGCCGCATCACAGCTTACGTGCGTCCAAGCAGGACGGGGAGCCCACTTTGGGCTGCCGCAGGGAAGACAAAGAGGTGCCCCATCGAGGTGTCTGCTCCGCACCGCCCTTTACAGCTTGGGTTTCCCCTGCCTGTCCATACCCGTGACCTCCCAGCACCACACCGAAGGATACAATGATGTTCCAGGGACCGAGCCGAAGCCAGTTGGGCCAGAATCCTTTATAGAGCGCAAAGAAGCCCTCGCTCTTCCATGTCTGGGAGGAGAGAAGAGACAGATCATTTATGAGACACACCAGGTCCATGCTCTGCCCATCTCCCGAATGCCACGTGTGATTATCGTAGACCTTTACAGCCGCCGCAGTAAGTGGACAGGCCAGCGGAGATGCAGTTCAGTTGTGTAAGTGTCGCTTACAGTCTAGGAACCTCATCAAACTGCATCACTGACAAAGTTTTGTCCCATAAGGTTGGGAGGATGCTCAAGCTGGTGGCAACCTCAGGAAAGTGACTCTAGGCCCTTGTCTGGTTTGCTGTGTCCTGGTTTCGGCTGGGATAGAGTTAATTTTCTTCCTAGCAGCAGGCACAGTGCTGTGTTTTGGATTTAGGATGAGAAGAACGCTGATAACACGCTGATGGTTTAGTTGTTGCTCAGCACTGCTTATGCCAGGCAAGGGCTTTCCAGCTTCCCCTGCTCTGCCAGGGGCACAAGGAGCTGGGAGGGGGCACAGCCAGGAGAGCTGACCCCAACTGCCCCAAGGGCCATTCCATACCATACGGCGTCATGGGCAGTATAGAAACTGGGGGGGTTGGCCGGGGAGCAGCGATCGCTGCTCGGGGACGGGCTGGGCATCGGTCAGCGGGTGGTGAGCAATTGCATTGGGCATCACTTGCTTTGTATACTATTATTACTATTATATTGTTATTATTATCATTACTATTTTATTTTATTTCAATTATTAACCTGTTCTTATCTCAGCCCAGGAGTGTTTCTCACTCTCACTCCTCCGATTCTCTCCCCCATCCCACCGGGGCAGGGGCAGTGAGCGACGGCTGCGTGGCGCTGAGCTGGGGCTGGGGCTGAACCCCGACAGTCTGTAACGCTCACGGACAAGCACGTTCTGTCGCTGCAGAATCTAAGTGCTCCTATCAGTGGCACGCAGCGCTGGAATCTGGCCTCCTAAGGACAGGGATTTGCCCAGCTCTCTGGCCTCCTTACCTTCACGAGGCCATCCAGCGTGCCCTTATAGAGCTCTGTGCTGCCCACTATCGCCCGCTGGTTCATCATCCGCGTCCGCACCACGTCCACAGGGTTGGAGGCAATGGCCCCGGCCAGCCCGCACGTAAAACTGGAACTACATACACACCAAAACAGGAGAGAGGAGCAGCTCTGAACACAGCCGTTCTGGCTCACGGGCCTTGACATACGCACAAGAGAGTATCTTTCACTGGATTTTGTGAAAGGCATTTAGCAATAAACGTTAGCTGCGCTACCTGTTCCCACCCAGAAAACAGGCAGAGGCAGGAACCAGCCGCCTCGGGACCCCAGGGAGCTGGGGGAAGCAAAACGCTCAGCTTTGTCTGATCGAGACCCTCGTCAGAGCCCACTGCTGGGTCTCCGCAGGGGCAGCCTGCAGTGCAGCAAGCGTCTCCGGGTGCTGTCAAGGTGACACGGACCTGAAGGCAGCCTCTTGGAAGCGCACATCCTTCTCACCAGAGCAAACATTTCTTCGGGGCAGGGACCAAAGGCAGCAAGAGGGAGCATGCAGCTGCTAGCCTCCTCCCTCCACGTATGGTCTAGTGCTCGTCACCTTCAGCCCACAGCAGGCAAACCCACCAGAAGCACTGCAGCACCTCCAGCTAAAGTGTCTGCCAGAAGAATAGGAAAATGTAGGTGAAAAAAGACTTTGGGAGGACTCTAACCCACCCCCTGCTCAGAGCAGGCTGACCTCAAACCTTGGTCAGATTGCTCAGGGTCTTGTCAGCTTTGCAGGTCTCTGTTCACTCACAAAGCTCTTACAGAATGGCTGCAAGCTGACGGTGTCTGTACGGATGAGGGCCTAGGACCGGAGCAGCTCTTTCAGCTGATTGCTACGGGCAGTCCCACACCTGGAACTCCTGCCTTGTGCATAGCAGGGCACAGACATGGGGCAACAGCATGTCTGGTCCTCAGCGAGCTGAAATCAAGCTGACATTTCGCGTCACCAAAGGATTTCTGCCAGGCCCCTTCTCTGGGGAGGTCTCTCTGGTCATTCTGAGCTGCTCCACTCGCCACAGCAGATCCCTCAGAAGTTACCAAGCCTGTTCTCCGCAGCTCCAGAGCACTTGCTCTATAAACAGGTCTCACCCCCAATCCCACCTCGCTCCTTCACTTCACGCACCCGCTGCGAAGCCTGGAGAGTGCAGCAGCTGCAGCAAATACTCACACAAAGTGGGCAAAGATGGTGTCACCCATCAGGCCTGACAGAATTAAGTGCTTCTTGGTGATGTCATAGACTGGCAGTTCCACCCCGACCACGATGGCGGCTCTCTGAGCTGTCGGCACAACACCCTGCAGAGCACAGACGTCAGTCAGAAGCGCAGACTGCTGCCTGGGGACCGCAGCTGGTGTAACATCCCCCCCAGCTCCCTCGCAGGGGCCTTTCGCTGACAATCTACCCTGTACCCTCCCTGCCCTACCTTGCAGCTGTAGCTCTTCAGGTAGACCAGCTCACTGTCTCCCAACTTTACTCCAAAGCTAAGGGGGATTCCTCCACCCCAGCAGCGTTACTCTGGCTAGATTAACTGCACGCTGCTTCTTTCCTCCCAGGCGCTAGCGCACAGGAATTGGGCTATAATCCACTCACCTTCCCCCACTGAACAGTACCCACCAATTTTGACACCAGAAAAGACTGCACCACAAGAAGAGCAGCTGTTTAAGGAGGCCGGTGGGGCTCCAGGCACTCCTTGCTTTGTAACAGCAGAGAGAGTCTGCTCTGCTAAGGTTTTTGATTTAGGAGATTTTCCTGTATTAAGAGTTGCTGCCGGCAGGACATTGATCTGGGAACTGGCAAGACAATTACTGGAACAACTGCGAGCTTAGGTAAGAGGAACCAGCTACCTCCTGTCTGAGAAATATCCCAGCAAACCCCTCATCAGGAACCAGATAAAAACAGGTGCCAATTTTTATTGGCTTGCAGAACAAGGAGAACATGGCAGCAGTGCGGAGTTGGGCCATTTCGCAGGAACTGTAACATCACCCGAGTAATTCGGGAAGCCCCACGGTGTCATGAGAGCTCCCTGGTCACTGGGACTGGGAGCGAGCCTTCAGTACGGCCAAATTAGGAGCCAGCCCATCAGGACAGCCAGCTTTCTCACCACACAAACCCAAAGCAACTGTAAGAAGCAAAAGTACTTTTCAGCTTTATGGCTCCCACTGTGCCCATCCCACTGCGCTAACGCGGCGCCCGACAGCCTCCTCCTGGGTTCCTGCCTAACCCGGTCCTGGCACAGCCAGCTCAAACACCCCCACGAGATGAGCGCCAGAACTGGTGAGCACAAACGCCTTTGCCTCAACGTGAAGAAGAGCGGAGGGAGGGGACAGCGGCTGTCCCAGACCAGAGAGCAGCGAGACTAGCCTGAGCACTGGAATCCACCTCGAGACCGATCTGCCTCTGCGCCGAGTCCTGTCTGCAGCACACATCAGCAACACAGAGGGTTTCATTTCTTTTCTAGTCTCTCTTCCCCTCTTGTGCGTCTATGTCTAGAGAGCAGAAATAATCTCAAAGTAAATATTGTGTCGACACTGGCGGATGATTGACTCCTCCTCCCCTTCCCGCGCAGGACACTGCGACAGCTATCCTTCTGCGAAGGACTTCACTGACCGTAAGAGGGAAAAATCAGACTGTTGCCTGGGAGAAAGCATCAGGATTCTGTAGTTCCCACACCTGACCTCGCAACTCGGCAAACTGCTGCATAACTGAGCGTACGGAAGACTTGTAATGGAAGGACAAAGTGAGGTTCTCTAACAAAAGCCAAAGAACCGCTGCTAAAATCCAAACAGTAAGGCTTGAGCACTGGTAACTCTCATCTGCCCTCAAGCCCAAGAGCCTCACATCACCAGCTTCCCCAAAAGCCACTGCTCTGTCCTACTCTTTGTGTGCTCAGAGGGCAAGTTGCAAGGGGTCTGAGACTGGGTAGGGGTGGGACACAGGGCAAATTTGTCCCTTTGGAACTTCAGAAAGTTACTGTCTGTCATTACCGTCTCAGATTAGTTGGAAGAATTCCTCTTCCTCCACGTGAGGAGGTGCTCAGCCGCTCGTATGCAGAGGCGGGTAAACTGCCCTGCTCACCGCGTGCAGGGTCACCTCCAGCCGACTGAGACAGACCAGGCTGAGCACCCTTCCTCAGGCAGACCACGGAGAGGATCCAGCCCCCGGCGCTGGTCCGTTCAAGGGACACTCACGTATTTGGAACTTCATGCACACCAGCTTCAGTCCTGGAGACCAGGTCTGCCTGGCCCAGCGCCGATGCTGCCACAGCACAGACCCGATCTCCACCACGGACGTGCTTCTGTTTGTCCGGTAACCAGAAGCAGAACTTTGCTACTACCCTTGGCTCACTGTTCTCCTCAAGAGCTGCGCCTGGGTGTAGCAAACGAGTTGAGGGAGCTGTTAGTTCTGCTACTAGCAGGGGGGTTCGGGCAGCTGGTGCTCACCCTCCAGAGGCCTCGGGTACCCTCCTGCTGGTAGATGTCGATGAAGCTGCCAATCATGCCGCCCTGGAATAAACTGCCTTGAGCCTGCATTCGAATCTGAAAGAAACCAAGAGTCAGCGGGAACGACATCGGCGGCTGCGCAGGAGGGCAGAGAGAGCAGCTCAGCAGGCCTCCTGCTAGGACAACAGAGCAGCTCGGAGCAGACCCCGCCGTCCACAGGCCCTCTCCCTGCAAACCGTGCAGCAAATGATGCCGGCAGGCAAGGAGCGGGGACGGCAACAGGCTGGAAGCACAGTGCAACACTCAGGCAAGACAGAGGAGTGACAGGCAAGGCCTTCCCGCTCTGAAAGCAGTCTGAGAAGGTGAAGCTAGGCAGGAGAAGCGTGGCAAAGTCCTCCGGGCTCTCCTTGCTCAGAGCGGAGCCACCCGACCCCCGTAACCCCGCAGCAGGGAACGGCGGGGAGCATGCAGTCCCCCCTGGACCCCGGTCACTCCACCTAACACGCAGGACGTTGCGGCAGCGTCAGCAACGCGCAGCACAGCGACCAAAGGGAAAGGAGCCGAGGTCTGACGAACAGCTGGCTACCACCCCACTCACCTCACGCGGCTAAAACACAGCCTCCACCCCTTCCCATAACAGATTTCATGATCTTTAAGAGCTGCATTTTTAAAAATCTATGGGCTTCTGTTCCCATTCATAAAAAAACAACTTAGCAGAACCAATGCCAGCAGAGAGCACCCGATTGCAGCTGGGAGAGTTGCCTCTTCCCCGGAAAGCAGCAGCTTCTGCACGTCAAACCCCAGCCAGCCAGGAGCTGCCCCAGGCCAGGCACACGTCTTACCTTCAGCACATCTGTCGGATTGGCAATTGCGGAGGAGATCACCCCTGAAACCACTCCGCAGATGACATTGATTAGCAACGTTTCATCTGCAATCGAGAAAAGAAAGTCAGATCCTAAAGATCGAAAGAGAAGCTGCACAGATTGTACTCAACAAGCAAGAAGCTCTGGGAAGAGCAGAGAAGCTCAGTTTGCAAATCACGGGGTGAAGCTGCGCGGGCAGAGGCTGGCCAGCTACCACCGGCTCGTGTGGCAGGTCCGTCCCCACGCCTGCCAGAGCCAGAAAGCAGCAGCTGAAACACTCAGCAACACACCCTCGGAGAGAAGCGGGCCTTGCTGATGAGTCTAGCTGATCAGACAAGGAAAAGACCGCAATATGTGACAATTATCTGAGATTTCAGTGTCCAGTGATGCATTTCTCACATTGGAGATGAGCCAAGACAGAGGAAGACAAGAGAGGGACAACCCAACGCTTCTCAAGGCAACCTGATACCAATTTGTTTTGATCTGGAGCCCCAGCTGGCTGCGTTCAGACTGCGCAGCCACCTTGAGAAAACAAAGAACAGGCAACCCAGGCAGAGAAAGTTAGATGCAATTAGTTCCGAGGGGCGGGCGGAATAATCCAAGGCTTCCAGACCCAGTATTAGGGTGACGGTTATGTTGGGAAAAGGCACGGCCCTTTGCTGGTACTGACCACAGCACTTCCCAGAGGAGACCAGGCCACTGGCTGCCCCAGGCCTGTAGGGAGACAAACATTCAGACGTTGTACTCGCAACTGGAAACACCGCAAGAGCAAGCGGAGGGGAGACGTGCGGCCCAGCGTATGCACACAGAACCACGCACGGGGAGGGCTGTTACTGGAGAACGGAGCAGTCCCTGCAAAGGAGCTCTAGGGCGCTGTGCTTCCAATCCTCTCGCCGGGCTGCTGACTGGCCCACCCGTCTCACTTTCCCGGGTCAGAATGGCGTTACAATATTCACTCATGTCACACCGGGGTTTAAAACCGTGTGTGCAGAGCCTGGTGTTCCTTCAGCGAACACGTACCAGGCTTCTGCTGCTCTGCCAGCAGGTAGGAGCCGCAGCGGCCCTTGTGACCAGAGCTGCACAGGTCAAGAGCGTTCGCGGTATCCCACCTCTGCGGCTAAAGAGGTCTCTCCAGGTGCGCTGTGTTCAGGCACAAGGACTGAAAGGCTCCGGTAGGAAGTCAGCAGAGACTCGCTACCAAAGCTTTGCATCCGATGCACTACTGAAGCGTACCGCATCCAATGCGCAGATGGGACATGACGTCTTCCCCGAGGCTAATCAGAGAGACAAGCCTGGGTCAGCGATAACTTTTTGGTTTTTTGGTTCTGCCATTGCAAAACAGAGATAAAGGCTGGGGAAAGGCCCGATGCGGCTGGAGGGGGAGATGTTTGGCCTAGGGACTGTGGGCAGTGCCAAGCACGGTGAGGTTCACATCTGTATCGAAACCTATCCTTGCCATTACTGTACGAATCAGCACAAAGTAACAAAAACTCCGTTTTTGTGGGAATCTACAGCTGGGAAGGACAGAGAAAGGAGTGAGCAAAACCACAGAGCACAGCGAGCAGGAGGTTCGCGCCTCTGGCGAGGGGAGAGGCACCCGCGCTGACACTGACCTTCCATGCGCTCTACAAACAGCCGCTTCAGGCTCTG